ATCGACTGTGCTCCAAGTTCTAGGGCAGGAAACTCCATACTCTGCCTGAGAAGCTCCTGATCCATGATACCCACCCTCCTTCCATACCCAGCCCCCTTTCCAAACGCTTTTGCTCCCGAGGCCAGTGTGGGGCAAAAATGGGCAGATGGACCAGTGTGGCTGGACCGAGGGGCCAGTCCCAGGACACCTGCCTGTCATACCTTTCTCCCATCATTCCTTGAGCTCAGCTGGCAGCTAAGGGCAGGGTACCCGGTGGGCATTGTAGGTCTGTAGTGGTCCCTGCTCCAGTCCCAGCCCACTTAATTGCTACCGTGACAGGTACCTCAAAGGCTAGCCTGGAAGGATGCAGCCATTGGGACACGCAGGCTGTGAGCCCCTCGATCCCTCTTCTCCCTCTTTGCCTCCTTCTCTGCACCCCCTTTCCTTTCTCTCCCTGTGTTTTTGTTTCCTGAGTGTCTACAGCACCCAGTTTCAGTGCCCCCCCTTTTATTCTGACTGCCACCCGACGCTCGTACGCACTGTCTCAGGTACAAATCTTGGTTGGCTCCAAGTCTCCCAAACTTGCCTTCTGCAGGTGGAGGCACCTCTCTCAACGTGGGCCCCACCTTCTCCTTCCCTGGCTCTTCCTTTATTCTCCATCCACTGTTCACACCTTGCAGGGGTGATCACCGGAGGCTGCCACCCCCGACCCTCCCCTAGACTTGCTTTGCTTCCTTCCTGTGATGAACAAGGGGCCCTGGTACCCACTCCCTCTGCTGCCTCTACCAACACACACTCCAGCATCCCTAGCTGGGGCTGGAGAAGCCGGTCCCCAAGCTGAGTCCAGCGCACAGTCGCGCTTAACCAGCCTCATAGGCTCCACTTGCACACCTCCAGCGACGGGAAGCTCATTATCACGGCCAGAGAAACCCAAAAGGCATTTCAGGGACCGATTGCGCTAGGGTAGCCGGGGCGCTCCGTGGGTCAAGCTCAGCCAGTGGGCCCAGCCCGCGTGCCCAGCCCTCCCTCGGGGAGGAGCGGCGGGCACTCACCGGTGGCCTGGCCCGGGCCATCAGCGGCGGCGGCAGGAGCAGCAGTAGCAGCAGCAGCAGCAGAGGCGGCTGGAACAGGAGGGCGCGCGAGATCGCGCGGAGGAGACAGGCGGCCCGTGCCATCCGCCCCGGGGCTGCTGGGCCTGCTGGGCCGCGCAGGGCTGCCGCCCCTTATAGCATTCGCCCCGCCCCCCGCCGGCGCCGGGACCGCACCCCCCACCGCCCCGCCTTCCCCTGCCTTTTGTTCTAAACTCAGCCGGTCTGCAACCCCGGCGTGGGTTAGGGAGGAGTGCCTGGAGGGGCTGGACCCCTCAGACAGATAATAGCCGACCCCACTTTCAGAAGTCTCATCCTCTGCCAGTCTCCATAGTGGCTTGACCTCTCTCTGTCTGACTTCTTTTAGCCTGCAACAGGTGGTCAAATCTTCCATCCTCACAGCCCTAGCCAATGCACCAGGAATGCGGTACAATAGTTCCTGCAAGAAACCCGCTATTGAAATATGACTACTGGGGAAACTAAGGCATATATATGGCAGAAGGTGGCCAGCCCCTCACCTTAAACCAGAGACGGGTCTGGAGAGATGGATCAGCCATTAAGAGCACTTGTTGCTCTTGTAGAGAACCAGGGTCCCATTCCTAGCACTCCTCACGGTGGCTCTCCTAGAATCCGATGCCTCCTTCTGCTCTCCAAGGATACTAGGCACACACTGATGCACATACGTACATACAGACAACGACTTCAGACCAGAGACAGTTACCCAGGATCTTGGAGGGAGGGACCAGACTTCTGTACTAGCAGACAAATGGGTCAGATGCCTGGGAGGAGAGGAGCGTTAAGAGATGTCTGAGCGGGGCACCGAAACCCAGGTTGTTCCCTGGCTCAGGCCCTGGCCAATGGGCTTTTCTTGACCAGTCAGGCCCAGTCCTCTGAGACGTGAAGGAGAGAATCAAAGATGAGAGTGAGGTCCACATGCTGAAGAGGTTCATCCATTCTCATCTCTGCAGAGGGTGCCCAGTGTGTAGACAGACTTTCCTTTGGGCCACCAGCTCACAACTAATGACATGGAGACTTATTATTACTTATGAAAGTTTGGCCTATAGCTGAGGCTTGCTCCTAACTCTCTCTTATAACTTAAATTAACCCATTTATATTAATCTACATTCTATCACCTTGTGTTACCTCTTTTCCATCTTTCACCTCCTGTTTCCTTTCCTGTCCGCCTAGATTCCTCCTCTTCTTCCTTTCTCTCCCCAGAAATCCCAGCTACACCTTCTGCCTAGCTATTGGCCATTCAACTTCTTATTACACCAATCACAGCAATATATCTTCACACACAAATATCCCACAACACAACTGTGCTATGTACTCTCTATGATGAGATGTACTGCACTGGAAAACCTCCAAAGCTAAGAATCAGGCAGGCAGGGCCCTGGGCTGATGCATGGTTGGGGCCAGAAGAGCAGTGCATTTTATTTGGCTGTCTGCGATCTTTTAAAAAGCGTCACCTGCCGGGCGGTGGTGGCGCACGCCTTTAATCCCAGCACTCGGGAGGCAGAGGCAGGCGGATCTCCGTGAGTTCGAGGCCAGCCTGGTCTCCAAAGTGAGTTCCAGGAAAGGCGCAAAGCTACACAGAGAAACCCTGTCTCGAAAAACTAAAAAAAAAAAAATAAATAAATAAAAAGCGTCACCTTTTTAATGGCTGGCACTTTTCATTCTTTCCTTCTCCCTTCCTGTCTGGCCCCCTGTCTCTCTTTTCTTCCTTCCTTCCTTCCTTCCTTCCTTCCTTCCTTCCTTCCTTCCTTCCTTCCTTCCTTCCTGTCTGTCTTTCTTTCATGATAGAGTCTCCTATGCATAAACAAAGCCCAGGCAGGCTTCCAGCTTCAGAGTCTAGTCTTAGCCTATCTGAATACTGGGATTACAAACACATATCATGTCTAGAATTTCAAGGTCTGGTTCAGCCTCATTGTAGCAGTGTTGAAATGATCAGGCGGTGGTAGCTCATGCCTTTAATCCCAGCACTTGTGAGGCAGAAGCAGGTGGATCTCTGTGAATTTGAGGCCAGCTTGGTCTACAGAGTGAGTTCCAAGACACCCAGGGCTACACAGAGAAATCCTGTCTCAAAACAACAACAACAACAACAAAAACAAAAACAACCCAAAGCAAAACAAAGAAAGAAATCATGAAATGGATGAGGTATTCATACATTTTCTGATGCATATGAAAGTATAGCCTTTTGAAAATAAACTGTTCTCTGGCCATGGTGATGCACACCTTTAATCCCAATACTTGGGAGACAGAGGCAGATGGATCTCTGTAAGTTTGAGGCCGGCGTGGTCTACAGAGTGGGCTTCCAAGATAGTGAGGCCACATAGAGGGACCCCGTCTCAACAAAACAAAGCAACCCCCAAACCCTAAAACATTCATTTGTGCAGCACATAAACAGTCTTCTTTGTTGCCAGGGATGCATGGCCGTGTTTTGAGGGACCTGCAGCTTATCAGACAAGGGCTAAGGCATTACCATCCCTCATTCGGGATCTGGAAGGGCAGATGGGTGCATTTATACAGGTGGGCTAGCTACAGATGCCTGCAGAAGAAGTTGAACCTGGAAAGATGTTACCACTTGCCCACTGGATACCAGGTAAGCAGAGACCAGACTTCTAAGCCAGTGGGTCTGGAGCAAAGCCTGGCATTTCTTTGAGGAAAGAGCGGCTCATCCTTTAGCAGCTCGCTTCACTGGGAAAATCCACCCTGCGGATAGGTGGGGACCCTACGTTAGAAGAGAACTGAAGTCCTGGTTGAAGAGGGCCAGCCAAGAGGCTGCTGAAAGAAACAAGGTTTGGGACACAGGAATGGGCATGGACCTCATGTCCAGTGTGCAGTTCTGAATAGTTTTGACTCCCTGTTCCTGAGACTTTTGCTCTTATAGAATGTTTGGTGCCAGGTGATCTCTTCTGTATCACCGACAGAAGAAGGGAAAGAAAGTATGGTCCCTCTGTGCCCACCCTACTCTGGCCAGAGGTTACAATTATTATTATTATTATTATTGGTGGTTTTTTTTTTTTTTTTGGAGACACGGTTTCCCTGTGTAGCTTTGGTGGCTGTCCTGGAACTCACTCTGTAGACCAGACGAACTCACAGAGACCCATCTGCTTCTACCTTCCAAGTGCTGGGATTAAAGATATGCACCACCACCATTTTTTTTTTTTTTCTGCCAGAGGTTATATGTCATGACCCTAGCCAAAAGTCTCTGAGGAAAGACCGTAAAAGCCAAGTTCCAGAGGACAGCGAAGGAGCTGCTCTCAAATAAAGGTCAAAGGTTCTAAAAATGATAAACTCTGGGTTTGCCTTGACCTTGCCTGGCAAACACCTCTAGGCACTCAGGTCACCTCTGGGACGGCTTGAATGTTTCAAAAACGCTACCAGTTTTTGGGCGCTCTATCCCAGGATGCTGGGAGCCCCGGTGCCTGTGGTATGGTGGTCGCAGGGTTAAGGGCCCTGGGCACACCTGGGACAGGCATGGTTCAAGGATGCCAGCGCGCTGCGAGAATCAGAGAAGGAACAGAAAGATCGAGACACCTCCTAGCTCACATTCTGATAACGCACCACTGAAGGCCTTTTGGATCTAGTCCTTTGGTGACCCTGGAACTGTTATTGTCAAACCCTATCTTGTGACAGGAGTCAGGGAGTGAAGCCGGGCCTGGAATCTCCCGTTCCCTGTTCCGCTGATGGCCTATGTGTCCCTTCTTCCCTCCAGGGCTCGTGACAAACCCCTTGGGATCTGAGATAGTCCTAACAGAAAGGACTGCCTTCGCTGCCCCTGCTTAAAAACCTTCGGGTTTATAACTCCGACGGGCGTCTCAAGGACCCTCGTAGCTCCTCCCGCCCTAGGATGGCTCAGGGGCCCTAATCCAGGAGGTTACTGGAAGGGGGAGGCTTGCCCCGCCCACTTGTGGGCGTGCCCCCGAGGCCCCGCCTCGGATCCCACCCATTTCACCTGACTCGCCGCACGCTGCAGCGTTTGTTCCCGCACTGAGCGGCTGCTGCGGTCCTCGCTTCTGACTTTGCTCCTCCTGGGTCCTACCACTGCCATGCCTCGGGGAAGCCGCAGCGCGGCTGCCAGGCCGGCCAGGTGTGAGGGGGACAGGGATCCCGTGGGAAGGGGTGAGGGAAGCGTGGGTCCTCTCCCAAGGGCGTCCGCAGAATGACCTTGGAAGCCGCTGCGCCATGTTGGCTTGGGGGAGGACTGGGGGCGCAGAAACACGAGTCTAAGACGAGGGTCGCTCTGGTCCCCGGAGCAGAGGGGCTTGTTCCCGGAGCACTAACCTTGCCTCCCTTTGCCTCCTGCAGCCGCCCAGCCCACCCTCCTGCTCACCCACCACCCTCAGCGCCCGCCCCGGCACCTGCCGCTTCGGGCCAGCCGGGTCTTATGGCTCAGATGGCATCCACCGCAGCTGGCGTAGCTGTGGGCTCAGCTGTAGGGCATGTCATGGGTAATGCCCTGACCAGCGCCTTCAGTGGGGGAAGCTCGGAGCCTGCCCAGCCTGCCGTCCAGCAGGTGAGCAAGAGGATTTAAGAGAAACGGAGGCAGGATTCGCTCAAGGAGACTAAAGGAACCACTTAAGCGTCCAGCCAGGAGTGACCCAATGTGTTCAGAGTTGCCCCCGGCCCAGGACTTTAACCAAAAGAGGGTCCTTAACCCTCGTGGTTGTTAAGCCTACTTTCCCCTAGCTGGAAAGCTCGCCCCAGCCCTCGTTTGCGGGCAAAATGTCTGACTGCCAGAGACTGACACCCACCAGTCCTTGAAAGACGGAGAAAACCCAAGCTCAGATGAGCGCAAAGACTTCTCCAAGGACACCTAACCCTAGGGGAGCCGGGAGAGGTGCAGTGTTTCCCAAGCCCCTGTTCTCACCAAAGCCCGTCATGGCGTCTGTTTCCTGGTGACCTGTGCCCCACTGGGGTGCTTCCACCCCCCCACGAGTCTTGAACCAAATCCAGATGCTAGTTAGCAGTGTGAGTCCTGAGTCATGAGATTCAATGTGACTGAGCCAGGAAGGTGCTGTATCATGGAGTAAGGCATACATACTCTGTGTACACATGTAGTGTGCAGCTTTTTCTAGACCCTTCCCTTCCCCTTCCTGCATTTGCCCATCATGTCCATTTTGAGGCAGAAAGAAAACCCTATCTGTTGAGTGACCTATAGAAGGCCATTGGTTCACCCTGTGCCAGGGATGCCGCTCAGGCCGGACAGGGTCAGTCTCGCCCTGGGTCACTCAGCCTGCCTTGAACCATTCTTGGGGGACCAGGGCTAGGGATGTGGGGAGAGGCAGTAAGCCTCTAGCGTTGGTACTTAATTTTGGGTACCAACCTCGGGCTGACAGTGTTGACTCGTATACTCTTCCCCCCAGGCCCCTGCCCGTCCTGCCTCTCACCCCCTACAGATGGGGCCCTGCTCCTATGAGATCAAACAGTTCCTGGATTGCTCAACCACTCAGAGTGACTTAACCCTGTGTGAGGGTTTCAGCGAGGCCCTGAAGCAATGCAAATACAATCACGGTGAGCGGTCGGGGTGATGCAGGTGGGGTTGGGAGGGACAGACCTCTGGGACCCTGCTGATCATCACCACTTGGTGCTGTGGTTCCTTCCACAGGTCTGAGCTCTCTGCCCTGAGGAGCCCATGGGCCTGCTCTGACCGTAACCCCTCACCGACAGCTTGACCAAGATGAGATTGTACCTGGGACTGGGAGTAAGGAGGGTAATTCTCACCCCACAGATGAACAAGAGACATTAAGTGTTCAATTAAAGCATTTACTTTAGACCACAGCCTGCTGTGTCCCAACTGACTGCCTTGTCTGCTGGGAGGTGGGATCAGGGGAGATAAGTGAATGGAGGCATAGTGTGCTGTCTCCTCTCTCTCTCTCTCTCTCTCTCTCTCTCTCTCTCTCTCTCTCTCTCTCCCTCCCTCC